ATTAATGACTGTATATCGGATACTGCGAGAACTGGGATCGACCTTGGCTGCCTAACACTTGAGACTGATCTATCTGAAACGTACCGTAGAGACCGCTCTGGGCAGCCGCAGCCTGCAGTTGCTGCGTGGAATTGAACAAAACTGTCGGAGGTGAAGGTATTGCAGACATCCCATACTGGTTGGTACCTCCTACGCTTGGCTGAAAAAGATTATAAGAAATATCGAATACAAAAAAAAAATATGCAATCGAATATTATGGTTCAGTGCTTATTCATAAATAAATACTTCAGTAAGTCAAAATAATTTTATGTGTACCTGATAACCAAGATGCTGGTTAGACGTGTACTGTTGAGGGGGCTGTCCAAGACCGACGCCAGTACCTATCACGGATTGCATGGGAGGTGGGGACAATGGATGGCCTACGATACCTGATCCCACAACACCTGAATGGGGTTGATGAGCACCGGTTGTGTGGATTGTTTGACTCGCGCTACCAGCTATTTGTTGAGTTGGCTTTACCTATAAAATTATAAGCAATTAATGAGGCAAGAGAAAGCTTATTTTCTGATGATAAACATTTACTTTACACACGTTTGTCGTGGTATTATTTGTGACTGTTTGATTAGGGGACGCGTTGTATCGTTCGTGCCCATCCTCGCCTTCTGCCGTTTTGTTGACAAAGGCTGTAGAGCCGTCCAGGGCTCCAGTGTCTGCACCAAACGATGTAGAAAATCCGGCAGAGGCTGCCGTGTTCGGGTCATCTTGGGCCACGACTACATTATGTTCCATAACAGTGGGCATTGACTCCCATACCTTTTTTACAGATGCAATTTTGAAATTCAATGCATCTGCAGTTGATATCGTATTATTAACGCTTGTTATCGTATGTATAGACCTCGAAAGACCTCCCAAATTTTTGGAGTTCTTATTGTCTTCTGTTAAATGTGTTAGTTCTGATTCAAAGAAGTCCAATTTCATGTCTGCAGTGTCTTCTTTGGTGAAGGCTAATTGCATTTGAATGGTAGTCGCGTCCACCTGCTGTTGTTGAGGCTGTTGCTGTTGTTTGTCACCCTTATTGTTCAAAAGATCCCTAATGGGTTTATTAAAGGTGGACATTACAGCTGAATTGTCGATGACCACACTTTCCTCCAATTTACATGGTTTTTCATTGCGCCTTGCACCTGGAGCTGATTTGAAGTTAGTATTTTCGAAAATAATCGTGTTAACAGGTGGTGTGGCACCGTCCAAAACTGGTTTCTCACCTAAGTGATTATTTTGCACGACTTTGTCCATGCTTTGACTTGGTGATTGTTGTTGCTGCTGCGATTGCTCTGGGTTTTTTGTACACTCTAAACCATCTGATTCGACTCGTAATTTATTCCACGCACTGGACAGAGCTCCGCCGGCATCTAACATATTTAAGTTATGACTAACTTTGTTTATATCGTCACAAATAATTCCAGACTGTTGTTGCTGTTGTTGGGGAGGTTGGTGATGATTTATCTGGACCTTTTGCAGTCGTTGCCTGACGAAACGAGGGGGTAACTTGTTTTGGCGGTTACGCTCGAATTTATCCTTATTGAGCTGAGCAAGCATTGGTTGAGGGGGATTCACTGGAGTGTCCATCAGGGATGGAATGTTCGCCACCTGCTGCGCGAGAGGAAACTGAGACTGTTGTTGGGATGATGGTAATGCAGGCCCGGGTTTCTTCAACGTTTTGTCTTTACGATCATCCCCAAGTTTACTTCCAAGTTTTGAAGGAATTTTCTCATCTCCAGACTTCGGTCTCTGCAGATTCTTTTTGCTCTTGACTTCTTGAAAACCGTCTGTGTCTTTTTCATCTTTCTGGTCGCCACCTGTTTGATCGTCTTGACTTTTTGTCTTTTCGTCTTTTATACTTGGTTGTCGTGAACCATCTGGTCTAACACGATAATCGGGACGTCCTGAATTATTTCTTCTCTGGGAAGAAGTCCTAGCGGACAACGTTTTAGACAAATGTTTCGATTTATCCTTTGAATTCTCTTCTGAATTGTCGGATGTTTCGCAATTCTCTTCGCTACCTTCTTTCGGTTTTCTACCTTTGTTCCTTCGACTGTTTGAAGATCCTCTAGATTTATTACCCTCCAATTTATCTTCACTTTTTGATTTGAATGAGTCTTTATTTCGATTGCTGCCTATTACTCCAGCACTATTCTGCATTTTATTATCTTCAGATTCAGAGATATTGTCGCTCTTTTTGTTTGTTTCTTTTTCGTCCAAATGACTAAAAGGACTTTTCGAGGGTGGAGGTCCGTAGCCATCGATGCGTCTCGATATTCCTCCACGCCCACCGCTGCTTCTAAACTGTGAAGATCCGCGTCCGTGTCGCGAAGGCTCGCCCCTTGGGGTGTAATTATCTCTTTTATTAGAGTCTTTGTCGCTTCTTTCGAATCTGTTTTCCTTATTTTTTTCATCCTTAGAGCTAATTTTTCTAGACATTTTTGGGCTTCTCTTTTCGTCGCGTATGCTTTCAGATGAAATTTCATCGGCAGAAGCGTCAGATTCGGTGTGAAGCCAATCTGAAGGTCCTTTACTCAACGCAGAAGACTTTTTCATACCACCGAATCGTGATCCAGCTCCGCTGGCGCCTCCACGTCTCGAGTCGTTTCGTTTCCACGTGTTACGATAAACATAAGGACCACCAGTACTCCATCCGCGAGGATCTTGACGCCTCCTGTTACTTGACCCATGAGATTTACCATCTTCTTTATCCTTATCAGAATTTACTTTTTGAGGTTTACTGTTATCAGAGTCCGTGTTAATTTCGTGTCTGTCTTTTTCGTTTCCTGAATCTTTCCCTGTTATCGTTTTCTCTTCTGTTTTTGTATCGTTTTGTTTTCCGGAATCTGTAGCCCAATCTTTCGATTCCTTTTCTTCTTCCTTTACAATTTTCTCTGGTGTTTTTTCTTTTTCAATGGGTTTTTCTATTATCATGCCCCTTTTTAATTGCGTGAGCCCTTTGTCGTTTTTATAATCTTCAGCTTCAACACGTTCTTTCGTTATTGGTCCTGGGACTACCCGGGACCGCTCTTCCCTTGTGTAAACGTTTTCTTTACGCTTTTTGTCAAAAGTGGGATCAAATGGTGAGTCCGCCCACGAAGACGACGACGTATGGTAGTCAAAGTCCCGATTCGATTCCCGGGAATGTCTCGAGTCCCTGGAAGCCCTCGAGTCTCTACTGTCGGGTCTCTGTGGTCTTTCATATTTCTCGCCGTATCTGTCTTCTTTCTCGTACTTATCTCTCCATTCATCAGACGTAACGTGATGCATTTGAAGTTCTTCGAAAATGTCCTGATTGCTACTTCTTTTAGGTAGCTTCTCTTTTTCCAACGACTCTTTCTCTTTTTCCCATGCAATGCTGCTTTCTTCTCGCCCTTTGTCCCGTTTATTATCGTCTTCGCTGTACTTTCCACCAGACTTTGCTGTATCTGAGTCATAGTACGAATTAAAGTTGGAATATGAAGGTAAACAGGATTCATCGTTTCTATGGTTGTCCTTGTAGTGGTGCTCTTCCAATTCCTCAGAGTCTTGCCTGGAGGCGTGTACGGAACTGCTATTTTTATATTGTTGAGTGGATTGCCAGGAACTATAGGAAGATGATGTATCAGAATTGTAATTAGTTGTTTGCAAATTGTTGCTGTTGTTATTTTGAAGTTGTGGGCTAGAAGCAATATTTCTAAGCTGTTGTTGTTTCTTGAAACGAGGTGGTAGATTGGACTGAAACTGTTTCGAAAAGTTTGGTCCCATCTGATCGCGTATTTCGCGCGTGTCTCTTGGGGGCTCCCGTTCCACGCTTTGACTATCCTTCCTTACAAACGATCGCCCTTCGATTTGGGCAAGTTTGTGGAATTCGGAGGCCGAACTGACATCTTTTTGTTGCTGCTGTTGAGCAGAAGCCTTTTGCACGTTGCTACCGCTGCTGTTATTACTGCTAGTATTTGTTTGATTTTCTTTCTCTTTTTCCCATTCGGGTACAGGGATTGGAACAGGCATGATTGGTTGTGAAGGAACAGCGAGAGGACTTATAGTGCCCTGGGTGTCTTCAAGTTCTCGTTCCCTCTTATTTTTGCTCATTTTTTCTTCGAGCATTTGGAGTTTCTTGGCTGCAGCTTGTTTTTGCTCAAGAAAACGTTTCTCCTCTTCTTCCTTGCGTTGCTTAGCCCTTTCAACAGCCAATGCAACTTTCTCAGTTTGTTGCATTCGCCTCTGCTTCCACACTTCTTCCTCTTCGTTTATGTGACGGATTATTTTGGCTCCACCTCGTGGTCTTCTGTCATCGGAATTTTGGTCAGTCTTGCCGTTTTCTCTGCCGTCCTCTTTCGGAGAAGATTCGTCATCGCTGAACGCTAATTTTTGACTGTAATTAAGAAAATTTATTAGAGTTTATAGAATTAAAAATAAAACGACAAAGGTTTCAAGAGAGAAATTAAAACTTACTTATAGTCAATGTCGTCATAAGAAGCCCAACCGACATCTCTTGCAAGGTCGTCCATTCTGGTGAGATCTTCTTCTTTAATGATGGGCCTTGACACGACCTCGTCTTCGTCGGGGCGCTGTGGGGCCTGCGATCTATTTTCTATCACCCCACGATTAGGACCACCGGTGCTCCACTTTGGGGCGCCTGCTGGTGGATTTGGAAAAGTCGGAAGTCCATGACCATTTGAGGCAAAATTACCTCGGCACATCTATTAAAGTTAGTCATTTAAAGAGGAGAATGAATTTAAAATATCTAATTAACGCTTTTTAAATTTCTGAATTACAGATCTATCTAACCAAAAGTTATTATTTGAATTGTTTTTGACCAACAACAAAACAGAAGTAAAAGGCTGAATACTTACGAACGGTGGAATGACACCACGGTACTGTTGAGGCAGCGGTACCTGGGGGGGGCCTGCCGGGCCCGAGGGCTGAGGTGAAGCTCCCGGGGGGGCCGAGTTGCTGTTTCTGGAATGAAGGTCGCTCGGGGGCTGCGGACGTGCACCCCCTTGTATCCAGGAACCTTCGTTTTGAGGGCGGAGGCTTGGGCCCGGTCCATATTGCATGTCGGTGCCAGGGCGTGTGGGTGCGCCATCGCCAGCAGATAAGCTGGGGAATTCGTGCTGGAACTAACAACACCAACAATTTTTTTATACCTTTAATAATAAATTTTTTATATATATATCAATACTTTTACTTAAATTTGATAATGTTCACTTGCTCGAAATCTCAAAAACTTTTTAATAAAGTTATTTTGAAGCATTTCTTTTGTTCTTTTACTTTCTTATTAAAAAGTTTAACTAGCCAGCACCCCATAAAGCCTTGACAGTTGTAAATGTTACCTGTGGACTGTGATAAGGCGGAGGTTGTAGAATGTCGTTGCCACTCATCACCGCACTCCATGACTTGTCGTTTGTAACAGGTGTCGCAGCAGGGGTAGACTGTTTGGAAATCGGCAAGGAAGGTACGACAGGACTCGGCCCGACCGTTTGATTTGAAACTGGGAGAGAATTCGAGGAACTGTTCGAAGAACTGCTGACAGTGGAATTTGTAACAGAAGTCTAAAGAAAGAAAAGAGAAAAATGAATAAAAATAGTATGTTCCATGCTCTCTTGTGTAAATTGAGTACCGTTTGAGAAGTGGTTGAAGAGGGACTGCCTTCTTGTTTGCCCCATCCTGTTCCACCAGAAGGTACTAAAGATACAGCTGCGTCACTACCAGTGTGTTCAGATTTCAAAGATGGAAGGTTTGCAGGGGGGCGTCTTGCTGTTGGAACTTTACCCAAACTTTGCATGCCATGCTTACGCGGTAATGTATTTTTTTGATGCTGGGTTTCTAATGGTTCTCCCTGATAAAGTTTATTTGTGTTATTTTTGATTGTATGAAAGTGTAATACTTTTTGAATCATAATTTAAATAAGATAAAACAAGTAAACAAAAATATAGTTTTGAAACTTACTGTATGTGCTTTCCACAAGTTATTGATATCTAATGACTGGTATTTTGATTTTCCTTTCTCCCCTTTGGAGGCCAAGCCTGGCAAAGTAGACATGCTGTCTGCAGGCAACCATTTAGATCTGAAGGACCCAGTGAACGAACCTTATTTCTATAAAAAAGAACACAGGTTTCACTGCTAATTCTGTCCCTATTCTCAGTACTCATAAAATGCATCCCTTATTTATTTCTATTACAATAAGATAGTAATTAGTAATACTAACAATTAATTAGATGAAAACTATACCCTTCACATATCAAAATATCATTAGCTGCCAAAATAATTTGCATACAATTAATCATTTTCTTAATCAAAACCATTAATTTCTATTAGACTATTGTGTGGAATAAAAATGAATGTACAGGAAGTAATAATTTAATTCAAGGTTTTACTGTATAACTTTGGCTACAGTCTAAGCTGGTGGCTGTATTGTAAATAAAAGTTAAAACGTCCGATCAAAATTAAATAAGGAAAAACAAAACAGCAACATAAGAGAACACTCAAACAAGTACCTTCTAAATTTGATGTTTTACTGGCACTTATAGAAACATTAAAGGANATATTGTGATTAGAAAATACTCGTTAAATTCGAATGCATTTGGAAACTGTTGTGTTATTTGCCAAACGCAGTCAATGAATTGTAAGAAAACGGGATAATAATTTAATTCAAGGTTTTACTGTATAACTTTGGCTACAGTCTAAGCTGGTGGCTGTATTGTAAATAAAAGTTAAAACGTCCGATCAAAATTAAATAAGGAAAAACAAAACAGCAACATAAGAGAACACTCAAACAAGTACCTTCTAAATTTGATGTTTTACTGGCACTTATAGAAACATTAAAGGATATGTGTAATTGACATCTATTAAATAACAACCTTGTATTAACTTCTGAACGAAATGTAGGAAAACGTATCAACTAAATCTTTTAAATTAACGTATTTGCACTTAAAATTAAAGGGCTCATTGTAATAAATTTCAAAGCAAGACCTTTCCCGTGAAAACGTTAGAAGGTGAATGACTTGAAATCTGAAATAAATTAACTGTAAAAGGATCTGTCAAGCGAAAACATATACACAAATATAAGGATTTTTCTAATATTGCCTTAAAACAAACATATGATTACGAACATGAATTTCAAACCCAACCCAAATAGTTTTTTTTAGAGAAACGATTACTGTCATGAAACAGTCCCCACATATTATTTAAAACTAACAAAATGCACATATGCCTCAGAAAATTTTGCAAGTGCTTTTTTTGTTGCTGTTGTGATTATTTTTTTTTTATTTATTTAACGATCAAACAATAGTTTTGATGTATAACAAAAAATTCTATTACGACGTTCAAATAGCAATTTGGGGCGTAAAAATCGTATCCTACCTTGGTCCGTCCAAATGGGTAAACTCGTAACAAGAGGAAATTAATCCAATTAAACTTGAAATGGGACGGATGATCACAAGTTTTTATTATTTTTACCACTATTTAAAAACTTTTCACTTAAGTCAAAATGGCGTACGCCGACTACATCAAATCAATAACATGACGTCACAAAAATAACTCCAGAAACAAACCATTTTACAGGAAATTCTTCATTACCGACATCAATGTTACAATATGAATGAAATTAGCTACGATAAGGTGCGTTCGATTATCTACATACGTACTATACTGAATGTAATCTTTAAAATTAATGAAATAAGATATATTTAACATTAATTGCTTTAGAAAAATAATAAGCCCCAAAAACATTAATTAAATTTAGTAATAACTTGTAATAGTCGTATCAGTTGTAGATATACATGATGGGGGGTTTTTAATTAAACTTTTACTTTCAAATTAATTAATTAATCTTTTAAATTAGGTCTAAATAGATAAATTAGCAAATAAAAAAGTTTATTCATAACGAAAAATAGAAGATAAATTAAATATTGTTATACAAACACATCTTAAGTGCTAGAAAAGTTTTAAATAGTTGGGCTACACTTGAAATATTACCAAAAAGGTCTTTTTCAAATACAATACAAACTAAATATATATATATATATTCAAAGATCTTTTAGAGATAAAAAGTAATTTTACAAAACTAAAACTTGAAAATAAAGCGGAAAGTTAATGCTTCAAAAATGATTCACGTTAATTAAAGTAAAAATTATCTTTTTGGTAAAATTAACATCAAATTCTCAACCCAAATATTCAATAAGTTCATTGTATCTTTGTGGAATTACTCACAGGTATTTTCCCTTATACTCCTAATCTAAGAATTGCTAAGTCTTTACATTTATTACAAATTCTTAATATACATATCACATGTATAACAATTTGAACTTGCAAATACTGATTCTAAAAAAAATCGAAACGATTAGTCCAAAATTATTCCCATTCATTTTTTTTTGTGGCCTAATTCAAGGGATTCCCATGAAAGTAACATTTTTCGACCAATGAAATTCTCGTATTTTGATTAATTTTATAAAAACATGACTATAGGATACCTTTCTTCATTGAAAATACACCAACAAATATGTTATTGTAATTGAGAAAGTTATAAAAAAATATAATGTGAATGGTTTTCTTACGAATGCGTCAATTCTGCATAGAATAGATGTTATTAGAAGAAAAGTAAAAGAACACTGAATTTATAAGTAAAAAGGAAATAAACTAATCATGAGATATAATATAGCTGCTCAATGTACATTATATACGTATAATTAATTGGATCCTTCTTTAATTCTTTTAATAGAAAAATATTAAGATCGTGAAGTTTCTAAGGGGAATTTTTGATAATGAAAAATACACGAGACATCATGTCGTCGTGTTAGATCTGGGTTGTCTTAATTGTTGTTCTTTGCGACATTCCTCAACTTGTCGTTCTAATTGTTCTTTTAAATACAATAACTCTCTAGTACGCTGATAAACTGGGTCCTAAAAGGGCACATAAATTATTTTTTTAAGGTCCCTTACAATCTGTATCAATTCTTGTATGATCAAAAAAAGGAAATAAACAAAAAATAAATACCTGAGTCCTCATGCTAGGATTCCATCTGCAGTAGTAGGACTTCCACAGTTTTATATGTCGAATACTGGCTATGGGGATCAATACTTGTTGCTGATAAGGATTTGCCCAGAATAGGGGATTCCTGTACATGTCCAATTGGGAATTTGTGTAAGACCAAAGCGATACAGTGTGCTCTTTAACACCTATAAATACAACAAAATTATTCATATTGTATGCCAAACAAGTACAATTTTTATTTCATTACCTTCTTGAAACCTCTCTCGTTCGCTATTAAAAAGAAAAGTACCAAATCGACATGAATATAAATGGTCCAATATTGTGATTAGAAAATACTCGTTAAATTCGAATGCATTTGGAAACTGTTGTGTTATTTGCCAAACGCAGTCAATGAATTGTAAGAAAACGGGAGATCTATCAGCATCTGAATGATGGTCATCACCATGACCAACCCTCTAAGAATAAAAGACAAATATAATAATTAATAGGAAGATGCAGACAAAAAAATGTTTCTATCACCTGTTGAAACTTGTGACCAAAAGAAAGCCATTCTTTTTCAATTAATACCTCGAATCCCTTGATAGTTCTATAATATTGATCAAGCATAAGCATGGAAAGGGCAGTTAGCTGTGCTGTCCTGTCCCAACCATCAGAACAATGTACCAGAACTGAAGTCTTGTGATTCTCTACTTTGTCCACGATTCTCACAGCACCAGCTAGAATGCACTTTATATGTTTAAGCCAAAAAGTGGATTCTACACCAGACAACCAGCGGACCTCTTCTATGTTTGGATAGCAAAGTTCTTTTAATTTCCTCAGGGATTCTCTCATCACGTGAATATTGTGAATGTCCAGAAAAACCAATTCTGCATTTTGATAAGCGTCTTCAGATTCATAGCTAAGAGAAATAGATGTATACATTTTTAAAAGTGTTAAAAGCAAATTTAGATCACAAACAAAATTGAATATTCTGTTAAAAACATGGTTACAAGTGAAACTATATTCAAAATGAAAACAGTTCCAATACCATTTTCTTTTAATTAGTATAAGATTGAGTAAATTTACCCTCCTCCTTTGGCTTTATTTGCTATGGCATTTGCACTAGGTCTTGCATCCATTATGAACATTTTATGGGATTGGGCATTGGCATCCATTATAAGCTGGATGTATCTCTCATCTTCTTTGCATCTTTTACCACTCACCTAATTTTCAATGAAGACATTTTCGATGCTTAATTTAATTTATAATTGAACATTTACTTACTCCTACAAGAGGCTGTGCACATCTGGTAATTGTGGCTTGGGATTCAGGATGAATCCAGCTTAAAACAGGTATTCGTCCTCTACTTCGAAAATTAGCGACAATTTGCACATCTTCATCTGTAGCTTGGGCTGGTATAGCCCAAACTGCAGGATAACTATCACATATGTTATATTCTTCATTTATTTTCGTTATTTTCCACATATCATTATTAACACCCTTTTAAAATTAAATGGAATGCATTTATTGGGCAAACAAAATAATTTGTGGCACTTACCATGCGTTTTAATTCTGCTATTGGTTCATATACATTCCAACCGTTCTCTGGAAATGTTGCTGTGTACTCAAATGCAAAAAGTTTAAGTTTATGTGACAAGGGGAATGCAAATTGCTGTAGTTTTTCAAACACATCCCTTCTCGAATGGTTTTCTTGTTTATGAGCAAACCTTAAGTTTCTCATATCTTTGCAAAACACCTCTATACCATAGGCGTTTTCACCTCGAGATGAAGCCCCACCAACCTTTTCAATGCGGGAAACCTAGGATTAAACAAAATTGAATAAATCAATTGCAAAAAAAAATTATTAGTGAAACATACCACACCCAAAGGGACATCCATTACATTAGGTGTGTCTCTGTCTACAGATCTAAAGTAAAGTTTGTAATTAGTAACAGTGAGGACGCCCCTGGCTGGCCCATAATATGGACACAAGTAAGTCACATCCCTTGCCTGACCACAAACTTTTTCACCTGGCAGCAAAGGAGGCTCGTCTGGTCTCAGAGACACACTTGCTTCTGGCGATATCTAAATAAGGCGAAATTGTTTAAAGAATAACGTGTAACATATTTAAACTGCAACCTTTAAAGCTTCTCTATGTTCAAGTGTAGAGACTACATTTTCAGTAGATGTGGAGGTTGATGAACAGAAACTTTTACTTGGTGAAGTTTTACCCCAGCTAGTCTAGAGTGTTAACCAATTATTATTACATTTCTCATTGAAATAATTATAAAAAGTAACTCACCGACTCCTGTTTAGAATTTAAAGAACTCGATTTCGACTCTACAGTATAAGAATCAAGATTAAAATTTTTGTTATAACTTGGAGCAGTCCTTTCCATGTTCAGTAGTTCTATACTGTTACATTTGTCCATAATAGGTTCTACACATCGGAAATATTGTCTATTTCTTCATAAATCTTAATAATTTTTCAATTTCATTAACCTTACAAAATAAACATGTCAGAAACGTACTTCTAGACACTACATTAAATTGGAAATGGATCTGTAAACGTCAACGGAAATTTAGCTATACATTTCTCACAATTAGGCTAAACAAAAACTGATATTAGAACAAAAATATTTCGTAAATAATAGTAATTTGTTTAGAAACACTTACAAATATGATATGATGCAAATGTATTATTATTATTAGCAAGATAAGCTATACATTTACATCATATGAATCATTTGGTTCCAAAACATATGTTTTCTGCTTAAATTGTTTCATATCAGCCAAGATATCCTAAAAAAGACATAGAAAAGCTTCAAATTTCAAGAAATCGTAGATATGTACTTATTTACTTGTAATTGTAGGCAAACATATCCACTTTTAATTAAGCAAATTGAAACTATAATTTCTTACCACAAAATGTAGGTTTTCTTTAACAAAAAGTTTTTTTGTCAATGTGAAACGATACGTTCTTTTTTTGAGGAGGAAAAGGAGCGGAAACCCCTTCATTTAGAACCCCCTTTGCTTCGCTGTGTTAATAATGAGACAAAAAGGTGAATTGGCTGGGGATTAATACGACTGATGGAAGACACAATCAACAAAAAGTCTTATCCCTGTTCTTCCTTCCTCTGTTCGCTTCTAGAAATGGGAAATTTTATGGACCGTAATTTGCTGTGTCTTCATGACCATATGCTACACACTAAATAGAATAAATTAATAAAAGACAACATGTTTAAACTAGCTGATATTTATCAATGACAAAAGGTTGCTTATTATGTTATATTATTAGTGCAAGACATGTAACTAGTATAAGAAACGTAGTAAAAAAGGCTGAAAGGAAATAAAGAATGTATCTGAGACGGTATTTACTCTAATTCAATTCTTATTTTAGAAATTAAAAATAACGGTTATAGTTTGTAGGTTATGTTAATGGTTTGAACTTTTTAAAATATTTTTATGTACACATTGAACCTCTGTCACAGTATTAATTATTAAAATTTAAATAATAAAACAGTTTACTACGAAAATAGCCTATTTATACCTTCATGAGGTGGTAAACTTCGGTTTAATCTTGAAAGGATTGTGGTAGCATTACGTTAAAATATGGTTTAAACTAGACTTTTCTTGATGAATATTCACAAAAACTAACTATTTTAACACAAAAGATCATACAAAAGCATTTTACAATGAAATTGATACAAAATTTAGAAGAAACAAAGTTGTTTCTTACTTTAATATAACTGAACTGACATTTCAAACAATTGAATTTATGGCAGCCATCATTATAAATGAAAGACGGCTTCTGATTGGCTGTCTGCGAAATTCATTCATTGTGGCTGGCAATGAACGAGTACTATAGGGTTGATGACCTCTACGTGCGTAAAATGTGTAAACAATTACAAGAAAAACAAAATTTTCATTTTGAATTGCAAATAACTCGATAACTACTGGCCAGATTTTGATGCCCTTTGAACTAAAAGATGCGGAAAAGTATGGAGATTATATTTGAAACATCGTAACGTAGTGTTTCATTCAGAAAAACTGATTTTCAATTAAAAAACTGACACTATAAATTACTACACATTTATAAAAAACGGTTTATGACGATGTTTTTCGTTAAAAATCATCTTTACAAGATATAATAAAGATCATATATAACTTTTAAACTATTAAACAGAAGAATAGATGTTTAATTTTCCGAAATCAATATAAATATAAATTTAAATGGAGTAAAAAGTATATTGAAGAGCGCTTGTCTGTGAAATAAATCTTTACAATACGAATAAATCTTTTAAATTGTTATTTAAAAGGTGAATTAAGGTTGAATGCATCTTGAATATATAAAACTACGGAACTAATTGAATAAATTCTGGTATTTCTGCGTCAAGGTAATTCTCCGCGACTTAAAATTAATTTAGATTAGTAAAAGATGCAAATCTGGTGAAACGTTCAATACTTTCAAGGGTCTATTTAATGAAAATGGATTCGCATCTACTATTCTTGATGCGGAATAGCTGCATTCTAAAATCGTTTTGGGATTGAGTTAAATTAATTCTTTAGTAATCGCACTGGCATAAAAATCGTCTATTATTACCAACGAAAACGCAAATAAAATCTGAACTTATTGCTAGCAAACTCCAACATTTTTATGAACGACAGCAACCAGAAGATTTTTGATTCAACATCAATGTTTGATTTTACTTATTTTTGCATGATGCATTTCAATTTTCATTGCCGCTATGAAAAGATATAATATGGTTTTACATACCGAAAAAGTAAATAAAATTAGTCTTTCCTTCCGTGAAGTTTTTTCATGAATAGATAAAATTATTTCGCGTACATGCTATTGTATTGTGTTTTCTTTTGTTTGTTCAGGTTTTTTGACGTTTATCATTGTTTAAACAATCCGTTTCATATTTGTTCGTAAACACAATATCTGTAATATATGTTGTGTGTTGGTCGCACAAATTTTCGTTCAACAGCCGTTTATTAGTGAATGTACATGCGTTAGTGACTATATTTGCATACACGTTTATAACATTGTAAGTACCTGCATACATGCAAATTGCATACACATATAAGTACATACATATGTACATATATGCATGGATAGATAGAGACAGGTATTTACATTTAACATTTGCACAAATCAAACATACCTATGATGCTAGATTAAATTAAGGCACATTTTCACTGTTTATATTAGGCTATTAAAGTTAATTAACAGTTTTCATGTAGACGGTGAACGATTTGGAATGAACTTAATTAACACACATCGAAAACATAACACACCGCTCACGCAAACGTTGGACCGTTTTAGGATAGCTGATGGTACGATTCGTATAAAATTTGGCTTGAAAATATGTAAATTTAATAAACGGTTAAATAAAATTATGTGTAATTCTGTAGTACCTATCAAGTTAATGTTTAATACCTTATTAAGCTAGAGTTGAGTACAATTTCGGTTAACAAATGCAATTTAGAAAAATAAAAGTAAATAGTAATGAAGAAAAATTAGTATTTGCCTAAAAGTTTATAAAATTAACTATCTGTAAACAATATGAAGTGATGTATATACATCGGACAAGCAGTTTAAATAAGAGATTTGATCAACATAAACGTAACTGTAGGTATACAATAAAATTAACTTCTGATAACGTTAAACTGTTACGTATTGTCCCGAAAGGGAAACTTTTGGGACATATAATTGAGAAAAAAGATTGTGTGGCTAATTGGTTTAATTATTAACTACCGCTAAATAACGTTATTCAGACTAGAAGTACAAAGTCATTGAGATAATTCAGACATGAAAACCATTTTAGATTAGCGTGTTAGTTTCTGTAGTTTTCTGATTGCAATAGGACTTCTGTAAACAAAATCATCTTATCTTAATGCTTTATCGATTCTATAATGAACACAGTTATTAGTTTTATATACAGTAGCACATCAGTAGCTACATTTTGTTCCATTGTTGTTTTATTTGCAGATAAGCAAACTTTCGCGGATCCAGTATTAAGATGCAGCAGAACGTACATAGCGTCGTTGGCTTGCTTGATAAATATCCTCACTTAATTGCTTGTTTAGGAGTAAGATAAAGGAGTTTCCATTTGGAGCAGGTAAGTAGACTTGATATTAAAGATAAGCAGCCACCAGTAGAGACAGATGTTTATTTCAGGGTACATTATTAGGTTAAAGCATTTGTATTAAAGCACTTGTTTGCTAAGCCATTACAAAGGGGAAGACTGCTTTGGCTTTTCCTCTTTTTCACAATGTTAAAGAGGAGTACAACGTAAGAAAACTGGAAATTACTCACTTTGTAGGAAAGTGTATTTAAATCTCTAGTCGTCCACACTCTACACGAGCTATGTATAAATCACACAACTGTTTATAAATGTTAATTAAAGTACAGGCTCTTTATAAACTGTACAATTACATTACTGCAGGTAATTAAACATTTCAAGCTTTAAGGATATAATAATGGTTAGAAATTAGAATTTTGTATATATGTCACTTTTTCAGTACCTACAAGTGTAGAAATGTTCTAAATTATGCAAGCAAAAAGTTAATTAAATGTGCTTTTAAGAATTTAAAAATTTATGGCCAAAAATAAAACCTGCATTTATCTTCAAAAAGTTATTATGAGAAAAACATTAAATTTAATAGTGTTGAAGAGATCTATATCGTCATCTACGTCTAATAGTTGTTTGTTTACAACTCAAAATCTCAGCCGACAGGGCATTAGAAACTCACGACGAAAGTGTCATAGAAAGTTAAATTGGAAAATGGCATATACTTTTATTTAGCACAACCCTCCAGCTAGTTGTTGTTAGCATAAATTTAGACGTTTCGGTGTACCCTTGTCTAAACATTAAGATTGCCTAATATCAGAATTAATACCGAATGTTTTCTTCCACGTCGGATATGCCACATGTACCTACAAATTTTTAATAAGAAATTTTTGTTAAGCGATAATATTGTTGATGTCGAAAGGAGATCTAAAGATTAAATTTAATAGTGTGTTCGTCATCTACGTCTAATAGTTCCCATAAATTATTGGCTAAAACTTATACTGTTCTCAAGAAAATTTTTGTTGAATCGGTTAAAGTTACGAGTGAAACGTCGTAACTTTAAAAAAGAATCGGTCAACGTGATTCGTCGTTCGTTGAGAGAAGTAACTTTGAGTTACTTACTTAGTTAACCGTGTCAGCTTGCAGATAGATAGATACCCGCTACCTACTTGATAGTTGTTTGAAATTAAAGGGAGAGTCATTAAGTTTTTAACGTTTTTAGAAGCGAGGAACTTTTAATGAAAAAGCGTGTGCCGCCGTTACAGTCACGCCTTGCCTTAAACGTTACCTACTAAAGAGTAAAGACTCACAAAAAAAAGGAACTGTAATCAACTTTCAGTGCTGTTAATGCAATTGTAACGTTAAAGAGTAAGAGTTTCGTAATAGCGTTAGATTGAACAAAAATTTTTATAAAAATTTCAATTAATATATAGATCTAAGTCTGCTTAAATTTATTAGCAATAGAAATAAAAATTGCCAAGTGTGAATGCCTTTATTCCACTGAACGGTGCATTTTTTTTATAAATTAGGAATAAAAACAAAAACAACCAATTTATTTATCAATTTTTGAGGAATTTGTTTGCCTTTTAGCGTTCCTGAACGATGAAAAGAGATCAAATGTCAATTAATGTATTATATTCATAGATTTTTAATTGCTTACTATACCTGTGAAAATTTTATGCAAGTATAGTTGAAACGTTCAAAATTGGCATAGTCCACAATAAAACAAAACAAATGACTACAATCCCAAGTGCAAACAAGAAATAAGATACGTCCATTATTCTAGCAGATAATTTATTACGTACTTTGCCAATTTTGATCGTCCGAACTATACGTTGGTCGGACTCTTTAAAATTCATACAGTTTCGAGAAGCAACTCAGTATCAAAAGTAGGATTTCCGAAGATGTCTCTTGCGAGAGATTAAAAGGTCAAGACTTCTAGAGAACAAAAATGTTGAGAATGGGTATTAAGGATACAGTTTAAAATAAGAAGTCGGGGTTGTTAAAATTAGTGTAACAGCGTAAAAGTGGTTTCTATTTGAGTCAACAAAGTTTCAGGACAAAATTGGTTTGCAAGGGAAACGAACTCGCGAAATTATAATAAAAAGGCGTGGTTACTCTTCCACTCGGATGATATTTTAATCAAAAAGGACGACTCTGTCTTCATTTCCTTTGGAAAGTTTCTTTGGCTTAAACAATATAATTAAACTGTAAGACTCGGTTGAACCTTTTAGATGTATATGTATGTGTAAATAGGACGTGGAACTTCAATTAAAATTGCACCATTCAGCCACTGCCGCTCCTGGAGAATGCGATCTTTTAACGTGTGTTGTAGTTTTGTTTGTTTACAACTCAAAATCTCAGCCGACAGGGCTTTAGAAACTCACGACGAAAGTGTCATAGAAAGTTAAATTGGAAAATGGCATATACTTTTATTTAGCACAACCTTCCAGCTAGTTGTTGTTAGCATACATTTAGTCGTTTCGGTGTACCCTTGTCTAAACATTAAGATTGCCTAATATCAGAATTAATACCGAATGTTTTCTTCCACGTCGGATACGCCAAATGTACCCACAGATTTTTAAGAAGAATTTTTTGTTAAATGATAATATTGTTGATGTCGAAAGGAGATCTAAAGAAGTCATTCAACTTTTAATTAAACATTTTAATGGTTGAAATCCTTCATACGGCGCGGTGAACGCCATTTGTACTACAATGCTGGTGGAATTCAATATGTTCAACAAGGTTCATTTACGTAAATGGATATCTACTTGTTGAACTAAATTCACGACGTAGCACATCATATGCGATAGGCACGTTACCAAAATCGAACAAAGAAGTTCTGTCGAAAATGCCAGAATAGAATACTACCACCATGAACATCTTTGTTTGCAACTCAAAACATTTCAAAATTAAATTTAATATCTTTACGGAAAAGTGGTGCTCTTGATCATGCTCAAACCCAAAAGATACATCCATTCCCATAGATAATTTATTGAGGACTTTGATTTTCTCAACTATATAATATACCTAAACGATAAAAACTTCATCAATTATGATTTGGAAAAGGGGAAATATCAAAACCTAATCGTTACGATTGGTACATACATATGAAGAGAAACTCTTTTTCTCTCCAGTCTAGTACTGATGTGATTCATTAGTGGTAAGGGTGCAGTAGGCATTTACCTGGATATATATTACATCCACCGAAAATATCAAGGTGATTGATTCAATTTAGTTGCAACAATGCTAGTGATTTATCCTTGCTCGGTATACGACTAGACAGTTTGATAAATTAAATCGCGGTCTATCGGGCAATCTACTTGCCAATTAGTCGAGCTCGAACTGAGATAGTGGTCACTATTCAAATTTATGTAGGACACATACATGGGTGAGATAGCGAGCCCTGGTATAGGTGCAGATGAGCTAAGATGATCTTAGGTGCTTCATATCTAATCGCGAGTCTAATCATCAACTAATTAATAGACTTGTGGCTGAAAACCGTATGTCAGAAAAGGAACTCTGGATTGTCTTGTTTATGTTAGAGCATATAAAAAATACATTTCGTTAGATGGAAGAAATGTTTAGATTTGTAATGGAACGAAGACGGTAAGAGAATTTTAAACTATTATAATTATATGCCTGGTGCCTCCGTCATAATATTATCAAATATATTTGAAAGTATGTTAAAGAAACAAGAAGAAGAAAGAGGTTACAATCACACCCTGGAGCCAGGAATATATTAAGTATGCATACTGGTTCTGAATACTTAACAAGAAAACGTTTTTAAAAATACCAATTTTCCCGTGAAATCGTGCAATTAATTAACTCTATTGAAAACAATAGTTAGTTTTGTAAAGTATTTTTTTTTAGAAGTTTGACGTGCCCTGAGAGTGGATAAGGTGAGAAGACCGATGTGTATTGCAGACTAGGATTCACAAAGTGATTAGAAAATGGAAGGATCGCGGCCTGCCGTGAAACACAAACTCATTAATCTGAAAGAGCGGTAAAAATTCCAGTGAAAGAAGCTGAAAATGTAATTACCGCTGGTGGCATTGGTTCTAGCCGGGGATTTTTGTGATTTAATGTGTTAGAGCGACGAACGTCCGTCGCCGTCGTATTTTCACGACGCGTCTGGGATTTCCCCCGACGTCTGTCTCGCCCTCAACGCGACAATGCCAATTTCTCAACCTACTTCATTATACTTGATAACTTATTTGCAGTTTATTGAATTTCTTACATTTCAGTTTTAATTTACATTTTAATGATTTTGATCCATTCCGCATAAAGTGTTCAATGTACAGAGGGTTGGTAAACCAATGACCGGGTGTCTTTAACCTTTAATAACCCGAATAATAATAAATTAGCTTTGGTCAAATTTTGCTAACATATCAATCAAAAACAAAATTAAATATTAGCGTCATTTTTATATATCTAAATTAAAGCAAAGGAAATCCAGGAATTGTTACCGTAAAAGAAAACCGAAAACTTAAGAAAACAAATTGAGAACAACAATCTCATGGTACCAACGGTTTTCAAGTACGGTATAGGTACTTTTCGGCATGATATTCTCTAAAATATGTTTATAAATAAATATTTAAGTATTTATAAAAAAGCGCTCGTGAATTTATTGGCGATTGAAGGAGAGGTAGCCTGAAGACAATGCAGTTTCCACAGTTTTTCCATTCGCTATTATTAATTAAAACTTTCAATCTATAAAAGGATTATGTTATGTAAGGGATTTAGTGTGTAGGTGGGCGATGAAGTAATAAATGATTTATGACAGGCCATTTTATTCGACGTAACAATTTGATTCGCCGCATCAGTCGACTTGATTATATGTTCAACGTCCAGTTTCATGGAAATCTGTCCTAATTAGACCGCTAGATGTTTTTCATTTGTCCGAGAATCCCTTCGGATTCGCATTGATTATGCATGTAACACGGATGCAAATGTATGCTAAGTAAAAATGGTCACGTGTTTTGATATGCGTGTTGTATGCTAATGAAACGGAATTATCCGAAATCACGGAGCCATACAAAATTTAT